TTAAAAAATGTTAGAGACTGGGTCTTGATTCAAAATCCAAATATACAGACTTTTCAGAGAAAATCAGGAAAATTGGAATACGGTTTGGGTATCCGATGACATGAAGGAGCTGCTGTTCCTTTATTTGGTATCATGATGCGAAAAAAGTCTTACCTGTTGGAAATACTTCTCACTTATGAGTGGAATGATACGATTTGGGGATTTGCTTTAAAACACTCCAAGATAGGAAGGAAGGAGAAAAGAGACTAAACAAAATTGGCAAAATTCTGTAAATGTTGTAGCTGGGTGATTACATAATATTCCATTTTTATATATGTTTGAACATTCTCTTAATAAATTTTTTAGAAAGTCAATATTTCTTGGTATTGTTTGACTACCTTACAAGCACATAATAAATTTGTTATAAATCTCCTGATTTTAAAAGTATGGGAGCACAGGCATCCCGCGAGCAGATAATGTCACATTTTGACATTTTCTTCTGCAATGACATGGATCGTCCTGCCACTTTAGCTGGCTGGTTGTGAGGATTCAACTCCAATAATTCCCAAATTTGTCTGAAGAACTGAATGGTCAGCCTCGGAGGCTTAGATCCCTATGTTTCAAAAGCAATAAAAGTTAATACTAACTTTTGATAACATCTCACGACTAAATCAGCTTCTATGAAATAGTAGATATCAGAATATTCAATGAAATAAAAAGTAAATCTTAAACAGTTTTTATATGGGTAACTGGATATCTGATAATGAAGACTAAGACAGGAAATCTAATTACATATTAAATTCTTATTTGGGTCTGGTTTAAAGTATCCAGCAAATTTTTACATAGGTTATATGAAAACTGACGTGGGTGTACTACATTTTATCAGGATGCAGTATATTTAAATGTCTTCCCTCAACACCTAAAATATCTCATGAGATTTTCCTGTTTCTGAATTTTCTGATGCAAATTTCAAAAGAAAACTCACAGACAGCCCCAAACTTAGTTAAGTGATTTACTTTTAGATAATGTACACACAAGAGACTTCTGCTTTTCACATTTTATATTCATGGATAGTGTAATAAAATTTTCTTAACTTACTGTTTAACCCCAATTCAAGCGCATCGTCTAGAGCCTTAGAACAATGTAAAAGTTTAATCATCCTCAGTAGAAGTAAATTTATAGAACAATCATGAGTTCTATAAACAGAAAAATAAGATACAAGAAACCGTCTACACATCAAGTCAGTACATCTACCAGCCCTCCAAACGGTCTGACTCTGTAAGCGGGGGAGGAGCATCACTCTCGGCACTCTGCTACCTTTTAAAATACAGGTTCTTGTACTTTTCAAATCACAACAAAACCTACAGAGATAATTCATAAAGTCACTGACAGCCAACTGCCACTTACACTCAAACTGAATTTGTAGGACCCTAACGTGTCATTCTAGGAAGTCCACGCTGAATGCAGACATCACTCCAGGGGAAAAGCCCTAGGACGGTTTTGCACTATGGGGTGTCTGCTGCCCTGTGACAGCTCCAGCACCACTCCAACATGTGCCTCCCTGGTTACCCAGTCTCTCTGCCAGTCCTCAAGTGAGAGAGGAGTCATACAGGCATCTGCACACCACAAGGGACTTACCGTCTGACAAAATCAACCATGCACCTGGTAACAACAGGAAGCAATCCAGCTCCATGGACAAACCATAGAGCACAGGACTCTGTCAAACAAATCACGTTTGTAAGACACCCCCAGCTCCCTATCCAGAGATGTGCCTGAGCAAGGAGGCAGCAATATCAATAACTGCAAATTCCAATTAGGGAGTAACAGCAGTAATTACAGTGGGAGGTCTTGAAGGCGGGAGAAAGCGGCAGCTCAGGGACTGGGATGGAAGGACAGGGATGAGCCAGTGGGGGAGAGCAGGTATGAGCTGCCCTCCCCTATGTCACCTTTCCCTCTGGGATCACAGGAAATGGCCAGTGGCCCTTTCTGCTTACGTCTGGTGCCCATGAAAACCCACCTGCTCTTCCCGCCTGCTCTCCCTCGCCGTCTAACCGTGTCAGCCTACGTCCTCTTTGCTTACAGGGTCGAGCATAGAACCCAGCACACGCTAGGTGATCAAGAATGGTGAATAAGTCCAACCCCTTCAAACTCGCTGAGGCCAAACCGGAAGTCCCATTTAATTATTCCTGAGCCAAACTTCATCTGTGATGGATGCCATCTATGAAAGAAATGGCACACACCTGAAGGCAGGCCTAACAGAAAGGTGGTGGGGACTGGAGAGCAACCGCTCAACCCACGGAGGTGCTGGGCCTCCAAGCCCCTCAGAGGGGCTCCACCTCCAAGCCTGGGGAAGACTGCTTCCTGCAGTGTCCTTTGCCTCCATTATGCAGAGACAAGCTCTGTTTTACACTTCCTTCCTGCAAACCAGGACGAGCACGACTGACACTTGTTCTTGCTGGTCTCTGCGCGTCCAGCCCACCTGAGCAGGGCCTGCTGGCCAGAGGCAGTGTGGGCACAGGCAGCTGGGGGTCACACATTTGGGGTTCCAGTCCTGGTGCACTCTCTCATCACCAGGTGGTCTCCACCAAGTTCCTAACCTCTCCCTGCCTTCATTTCTTATTCAGGAAGTTGAGACCAGAAGAGGAGCCACCTCACACGCTATGAGGATGCAAGGAGAACCCACATAAGGCCCTTAAAACCTGACTGAACCATAGTAAATGCGCACAAATAGGACCTGTTATAAAATCAGTAATAGGACTTTTAACCTGAAATGATTTAAGTAACAGTCAGAAAACTTCGCCTCCTTCACCTGCCACAATTCCTACCCAGAGTCAGTGGAGCAGGCTCTTTTGCAGAAATCAAGAATATGGGTAAGGGTGGCAACCAGTATAATACAGGGGTTCACCAGGTGCAGGGCAGACCTGCTCATATTGTTTTCTTTTTTTTGAAGATTTTATTATTTATTTACCTATTCCATTATTTTTTTCGTGAGGAAGATTGTCACCGAGCTAACATCTGTGCTAATCTCCCTCTATTTTGTTTGTCTGTTCGTTTGTTTGTTTTGGGTTTTTTTTTGAGGAAGATTAGCCCTGAGCTAACATCCATGCCAATCTTCCTCTACTTTATAGATGGGATGCCTACCACAGCATTGCTTGCCAAGCAGTGCCAGGTCTGCACCCGGGATCCAAACCGGCGAACCCCGGGCCACCGAGAAGCACAATGTGCAAATTTAACGGCTGCGCCACTGGGCCAGCCCCTGTCCCTCTAGTTTGTATGTGGGACCTCCACCACAGCATGGCTTGAAGAGCTATGACTGCATGCACCCCTGGGATCTGAGCCAGGGAACTCCAGGCCGCTGAAGTGGAGCACATGAACTTAACCACTACACCACAGGGCTAGCCCCTCATAATGCTTTCCAATTGCTCATTGAGTTTTCACTTAGTTTTAAAAATATCTTTACTGAAGTGTAGGTAGCACAATAAACATGTCCAAGCTGACACATTCTGATATATATACCCCTCAAACCACCACCAGAATTAAGATAATGAGCATCCATCACCCCCAAAAGTTCCCTGTGCCCCTCTGTAATCCCACCCTCATCCCCAAGCAACTACTAATCTGCCTCCTGTCACTGCACATTAGTGGCATTTTCTGGAATTTTATATATATGGAATCATACAGCATGGACCTTCCTGGGGTCTGCCTTTGTTGCTCAGCGTTATTATTCTGAGATTCATCCATGTTGCTGCACGTACAAATCTTTATATGAACACCTGCTTTCTGTTCTGGGTAAACACCTAGGAATGGAATGGCTGGATCAGAGATGGTAGGCACATGTTTAACATGTGAAGAAATTGCCAAACTGCTTTCCAAATGGATGCAGCATTTTGACTCCGACAGCAGTGCCAGGAGAGCTCCAGTTCCAGTGCATCCCGTCAGCACTTGCTATGGGCAGTCTTCTTCATTTTAGCCATTCTAATAGATGGATAGTGGCGTCTCATTATGGTCTGAATTTGCATTGCCCTGATGGCTAATGATTTTGACCATCTTTTCAGGTGCTTATCTGCTATGTCTACATGTTCCCTGGTGAAGTGTCTGTTCAATTCACTCGTGTTTTTTATTGGGTTGTTTGTTTTCTTATAATTGAATTTTGAGAGTTCTTTACTTATTCTGGATACAAGCCATCTAAAGACATGTGATCTGCTAATATTATCTCCCAGTCTGTGGCTTGTCTTTCCATCCTCTTAACAGTGTCTTTGAAAGAGCAGAAGTTTTTAATTTTGATTAAGTCCAGTTTACAAATGTTCTCTTTTATGGACTGTGCCTTTGATGTCATAATCAAGAAATTTTTGCCTAACCCAAAGTCTCAATGATTTTCTATGTTTTCCTTTAGAGGTTTTCTAGTGTCAGGTTTTATATTTAGGTCTATGATTCATTGTGAGTGAAATCTATGATGTCAAGTTCACTATTTGCATATGGATACCTAATTGTTCAAGACCTAATTCATTCAATTTAGTTCTGCTTTTTAAGCTGAAATTATTTCAACTTACAAAGAGTTGCAAGAATAATACAAAGAACTGTATAGCCTCACCCAGATTCACTAACCCCTCACAGTAACACTTGCTTTACCACTCCCACTTTAGACAAACACGGGGATTTTTTTTCTGAATCGTGTGGTCTCACCTTTATCTGGATCATCAGCTAGTAGTCCAACTAATGTTTGATTTGGAGAAAGGACTTTCCTGCTCTCTAATGAAAAAAGTTGGAGAAATAAAACTCTTGTCCAGAAGGTGGAACCACAATCTCTGGGACCTCGGCCCTTCCTGCTGAACACTGGACGGAGCCTTCTAAGAAGATACCCTTCTTCAGGGTCAATTTGTTCTGAAAACCAACTCTGGACTTAAAAAAGAGAGATGGGCAAAACTGCAACAAAAACCAGATTATTAAAAAAAAAAAACCCTGAAGAAATTTAAATTCTGTACTTTAAAAACTTCTTAAAGGATCAATTACATCAAAATTACCTTAATTCAGAAGTGCTTCTGGTCTGGTCTCCAACACATGTAAAATTGTCTGCAACAGACAGAGAAAAGACTATATTTGCATTGCATTCATGTTGTGAGAAACAATATTTCATACCTTTCAAGGAGCACATAAATCCACCCCTTCCGTATCACCATTTCTCATCTAGAATTTCTTTACTCAGTACTTTGTATTAACTTAGTATTTAGTTTTTCAGTGTGGAAAAGAAGACATCTGATCTCAATTTCTTTAAAAAAAATCCTCAGAAATGCCTCAGGGAAAATACCTTGAATTAAACTTAAAGTACTGGGGGAAAGGGGTGTTTAGAATCCCTTTGCTAGAAAAATTACAGTAACAGTAGGAAAAAAAAAATCACAGCAATTCAAGAAGCCTCTAAGAGTAATCTCACCAGACCTTCCCATGTGGTGGACCTCGCCCGAACCTCAAAACAGCCACTAGCCACCTGTCTCCTGAGTGCTGGCAAGCCCACCTGTCTCCTGAGTGCTGGCAAGCCCACCCGAGAACAGTCCAGCCCATCCTCTGCCCCACTACTCCTGCTGCGCGTGCCCTCCACAGCCTGGGCCTCGATCAGGAAGCCGTCTGCAGGAGCAGCAGACATCACGACGGAGCCTCGCAAGTCTCCTCTCACCATACCGCAGCCAGAACTAAAGTATATTTAATTCCAGATTTCTTCCGAAATGTCTGCTTGTTCTTTCCCGGAAACTAAGTTTCAAAACATTTACATATGTTTTTGTAACCTTTCCAAATTAACCTTTGTGCGAAAGACCACTTTGGGATGTTTCACAGGTTGCCACCTGCCTGTTGATTAATTCACTGTCTTGTGAGCCGACAAACTCATGTGCACACATCCAGTCTGCGGGTCATGAGAGGTAACAACAAGCTGAAACACCCCTCAGTGGAACTGTAAGTTCTAAGGCGTTTATTTAATAAAATGGTTTTATTTTGGAATTATGCGGCTTATGTTACAAGCAAGCACACGTTTTTCCGGCAGTAAAAGCGGGTATGGAAGGAAAACAGTTCAGTGGTCCCTCAAAAGGTTAAACAGAATTACCCCATGACCCGCAATTCTACTCCTAGGTATATACCCCAAAGAAGTGAAGACAGGTACTCAAAGACCACACGTGCGTGTTCACAGCAGCACTGTCCATAACAGCCAAAGGTGGCAACATCCCAAATGTCCATCAGTGGGTGAACGGATAAACAAAATGTGGCATATCCACACAACGGAACATTATTCAGCCATAAAAAGGAATGAAGTACTGACACACGCTACAATGTAAATGATCCTTGAAAACATGCTACACGAAGAAATCAGACACAAAAGTCACATATTTTCTGACTCCATTTATATGAAATATACTGGACAAGCAAAAAAATGCTGTTCAAGTTACTTACACACACACACACACACACACACACACACAACCAGTGGATGTGGAAGCAGAAGCTGGAGACCATGGAAATTCAGCAGGGAACCAGTGTCAACTGCAGCTCGCTCTCACCAACGCCCAAGAGGAGCGCTCACTCAAGGCTTCACCGAACTATCGTGAACTAAAAGTGGGGAAGTGGGGCCGGCCTGGTGGCGCAGCAATTAAGTTCGCATGTTCCGCTTCTCAGTGGCCTGGGGTTCGCCGGTTCGGATCCCGGGTGTGGACACGGCACCACTTGGTAAAAGCCATGTTGTGGCAGGCGTCCCACATATAAAGCAGAGGAAGATGGGCATGGATGGTAGCGCAGGGCCAGTCTTCCTCAGCAAAAAGAGGAGGACTGGCAGTAGTTAGCTCCAGACTAATCTTCCTCAAAAAAAAAAAAAAAAAGAGAGAGATAAAAGCGGGGAAGCTCCATCTCTACAACTGACATCTGAGACTGGCCCACTCTCTGTGTTCGGGGGCGGGCTCATCTGCTGTGGGACATGCAGCAGCATCCCCAGCCTCTCCCTGTGGGTGCCAGCAGCACCCCTTTACACAGCTGTGACAACCAAAAACGTCTCCAGACACCACCAGACGTCCCTGGGGTCAATATCAGTGCCAGGTGAGAGCTGCTCCTTTAAAGCGATGGTTGGGGTCCCAGTGGCATAGTGGTTAAGTTCATGTGCTCCACTTCGGCAGCCCAGGGTTTGCAGGTTCAGATCCTGGGTAAGGACCTACACACTGCTGCTCATCAAGCCATGCTGTGGTGGCATCCCACATACAAAATGGAGGAAGACTGGCACAAGTGTTAGCTCACGGCAAATCTTCCTCAAGTAAAGGGAGGAAGATTGGCAACAGATGTTAGCTCAGAGCCAATCTTCCTCACCAAAATAAACAAATAAAGTGATTGTCTCAATTATCCCAATCATCAAATATAAATCCTTTCAGGTTTTCCACATGAAAGAGGAAGGAAAAATAAAAATAGCCACAAAAATGTATCACGGTTTGCTCTAATTCAAATGCCTAGATTGCCTTGTGTTTCAAGGCGTGAAGCAAAGGTAAAGTTCCCTAAAGCTTCTTTGGAAGAAAGAAACAGGGAGCCAAGGCCTAGAGAGCACTTCCCTACCCTCCAGCTCACAGGGGCCAGCAAACCACCTCAGCCTGGATTCATACATAGAGTTGTCTGGACTCACCTCTGGCTAAAAACAAGACCAAAGCTGGGCTCCTTTTCTGTCTACACAGTCCACAGGATAAGACCACTGTCCCAGACAGCAGCACACATTAATGTGATCCTAAACCAGGAGCACCATCCTTACAGAAAACCAGGAAACTGGGGATTTGACCAAACCCAAGCCTAAGCTTCACCACGCTACTATGCCTCTTAGAGCAGACGGTACAACGGGAAGGTGGCCGCATCTTTAGACTCCAAGGGGCTGACAACACTAGACCACTGAGTCTGGCTGACAGGGCACCCAGGTCCCCACGGAGCGAGGGAGGGCAGTGCCTGGCCAGACAGGAGAAAAGATGGTTTTCGGCAGGCAAGGAAGGCCACTCCACAGTTACTCTGAAGCCCAGCCAGGAGGGTGCTGCTTTAGCAGTGCAAGCAGAGGGGCGTGAGTAGGTGCTGAATTGTTCTCTACTTGACCAGCAACCCATAAGGGAAGCTGGAGGAAGATAAGGGAAGATGCAGCCATAAAATTCAAAAGAAGGTTAAACAGTCTACAGACCCATTTTTAGTCAAAACTTAAAATATGCAAAATATAATTCAAATCATAGATTTGACAGAGTAAATACAAACATATCATCAATTTCATGAGCAAAGCAAACACCTGCGACATTCCAAGCAACGAACTGCTCCCCCAGCCCGACAACACTGCTTTCACCTGCCTCCTGCGGCCAGTGGCTGCCTGCTGGAAGGCGTGAGCCTTGCCATCCTCCCATGGGCCTTCTGTGGACGGGGCTACCTGTGCCAGCCTGTGAGAGGCAAAGCTTCCAGATCGTTCCCTCACGGAAGCACCAGACCGCCGCACACCACGTCCTTCCTCCCTGGCACTGTCCCAGGTCGCCTCTGGCTCCAGTTCAGACACTGGTCTCTGAAGTCTATCTGACACCTTGGTGTTATTTTAAGTGATTATCGGGTCCAATCTCCTGAACATTCCACTCACTCAGCAAGCACCTTCAATGCTTGCACTGTGAGAGAGAGTGCTGGAGGCTGAAAGCATAAGTCAACAAAACAGGCATGGCCAGCCGCCCACATGGGTCTTACAGTCCAGGGGAGAAAGCATGGAAATTGTCCTACAATGCACAGCGGGGAAAAATGAGAGGGGGACTCCACCAATACAAACTAAACCGACAACAATCAAGAATTCACATGCCCCTGTGTGATTCGGGCAAAGTCCTGGAAATACACACACAGGACGACTCGCACCCCAGGCAAACAGCCAGGACAGGACTCCAAGGCTCAGGGAGGAAAGCGCTGAAGCAGGGCGTGCAGCTGACCCCGCTCTGGGGGTCCGAGGGGAGGGCCTGTGTCCGTGCAGGTCTCATCTGGCCCTGCTCCCAGTCCAGAGCAGAGAGTCCCCTGACGGAAGACGGGGAGCTTTGGTGGACACGGTGCCTAAGCCGAGGTGTCCAATTGCCCAGGCGGCTCTGCTGCCACAGCCGTATGAGATTAAAATCCTTAGAGCGGAATTCCAGAGATGGAATTACTATGTCAAAGATCAGGTACCTTTTTAAGGCTTTTTTTTTTAAAGATTTTATTTTTTTTCTTTTTCTCCCCAAAGCCCCCCGGTACATAGTTGTATATTCTTAGTTGTGGGTCCTTCCAGTTGTGGCATGTGGGACGCCGCCTCAGCATGGCTTGATGAGTGGTGCCATGTCCGTGTCCAGGATCCAAACCGGTGAAATGCTGGGCTGCCGCAGCAGAGGGCACAAACTTAACAACTCAGCCACAGGGCCGGCCCCAAAACTCACCGTTTTTTTTGTTTGTTACTATGTTTGTTTTTTTGAGGAAGATTAGTCCTGAGCTAACATCTGCTACCAATCCTCCTCTTTTGCTGAGGAAGACTGGCCCTGAGCTAACATCTGTGCCCATCTTCCTCTACTTTATATGTGGGACGCCTGCCACAGCATGGCTTGCCAAGCGCTGCCATGTCCACACCCAGGATCCGAACCTACGAACCCCGGGCCGCCGAAGGGGAATGTGCGCACTTATCCGCTGCGCCACCGGGAGGGGCCCCGAAGGCTCTTGATAGAGTCACCTGAGCCTACGTTTTGACTCGGTAGAGTTAACTTAACAATATTAAATATTACTGTGATGACCTTCTTTGTGTATATATATTCTAGTACCTCATGAGGTGGGGTTTTTTATTTTTTATTTTTTTGAGGAAGATTAGCTCTGAGCTAACTACTGCCAGTCCTCCTCTTTTTGCTGAGGAAGACTGGCCCTGAGCTAACATCTGTGCCCATCTTTCTCTATTTTATGTGGGACGCCTGCCACAGCATAGCTTGATAAGTGGTGCATGGGTCCGCGCCCAGGATTTGAAACGGTGAACCCCATGCCACCAAAGTGGAAGGTGGGAACTTAACGGCTGCGCCACTGGGCCAGCCCCCATCATGAGG